CGGCATAGGTGTGACATGGAAATTGAACATGATCTTTGTTTTGTCCATGTTCATCTTAAGACCTATCCGTTGGGAGGCACTATTGAGGTCATTGAGCATAGTGCTTAAGTCCTCCAGCGATTCTGCCATAAGGACTATATCGTCGGCAAATCGAAGGTGAGTGATGTACTCGCCATTGATGTTAATACCGTATCCTTTCCAGTCCAGTAGCTTGAAAACGTCTTCCAAAGCAGCGGTGAAGAGTTTCGGGGATATAACGTCACCCTGTCTTACACCTCTCTGCAGTTGGATAGGTTTCGAGCTCTGGTTCTGTACTCGGATAGCCATCGTAGCCCTACTGTACAAACACTTCAGCACTTCGATATACCGACAGTCAACTTGGCACCGCTGAAGGGACTGCAGCATCGCCCAAATTTCGACGGAATCAAAGGCTTTCCCATAGTCCACATACGCCAGGCAAAGTGGCAAATTGTACTCAAAATCACTCAAAATGTCAGGTGTCTCGGAAACGATGCTGCCACACTCAGTCTTCAGCTTTGACAGTTGGCTCTTACGGGCAGACAGATCTCTGGCAAAGACTTTGGAGCCCTGGTTTTGCTCGATCGCTTCTTTAATACGAGCAGTATTAAAGTCGCTTAAGTCTCGCCGCATGCATTTGGAGATCTGTCTGTTTAGTTGCCTGTATGCTGTCAAATCTGTTGACGATTGCAGCCTTATCTACATAGTCTCCTAACAAATCAATACATTTAGTCCATCTTTTTTCTAAACCTAGGATTCCCTTTTTCCCTCTTAAAATTCTTTGTATTGACCCTTCCAAAATGCTTCAACAGCGGCCATTACTTCGCTATCGTCTTCGAATTTCTTGCCTCGGAGGTGTTCCTTGAGCCGAGGAAAGAGGTAGAAGTCACTAGGAGATAGATCTGGCGAATAGGGAGAGTGTTCGAGCAGTTCGAATCCCGTTTCTTGAATGGCAGCCATCGCAACTGCGACTTTGTGAACCGGTGCGTTGTCTTGGTGAAACAGCACTCCAGCTCGCAGTTTGCCACGTCTTTTTTCCTTAATGGCCTCCCGTAATCGTCTTATTTGGTCTGCGTAGTAAGAGCCCGTAATAGTGGCTCGCTTTTCCAAATATTCCACCATAATTATGCCTTGAGCGTCCCAAAAAACAGATGCCATCACCTTTCCCGCCGAACTTGAAACTTTGAATTTCTTTGGCATCGGTGAGGAGGCTCGCTTCAAAGTCATCGATTGTTGTTTCGTTTGAGGATCAAAATGGTGGATCCAGGTCTCGTCCATAGTCACAAAACGGAATAAAAATTTTTCTTGATCTGCTTGGAACTTTTCGAGATTGACCCTCGAAATGTTAACTCGATTTTTCTTTTGCTCGTCGGTTAACATTCTGGGTACCCAACGCGCAGAGACCTTTTTCATATGCAACTCGTTCGCAAGGATTCTTTGAACGCTGCCATATGAGATCCCTGTGACCTCAGCTACATGCCTGATGGTCACTCTTCGGTCTGCCAACACAACATCTTCGACTTTTTTCACGTTGTCTTCAGTGAGGGACGTGGATGGGCGTCCTTCGCTATGTTCATCTTCAGTGGATGTTCTGCCCAGTTTAAACTCCTTGGCCCAGCGTGCAACTGTAGAATATGGAGGAGCAGAGTCCCCCAATGTTTCCACTAAGTCACTGTGTATGTCTTTTGAAGACATTTTTTCAAACAGAGGTACTTGATGACAGCTCTAATTTCGTTTTTCTCCATGTTGATGTTATCTCTTTGACAGTTCATATTCAAATGAATGTATCTCCCGGAAATAAAAATTATATGACTTTTTAGGCTGACGTAGTGAGTATATAAGCAAGCAAAAAATATTTTTTTTGGATTTTTATGCGGACCTGAAGTAACCGATTATCATTACTTTTGGATGACCTCTCGTAAAAGAAGCCTGCGGGAAATTACTAAAATATAAATTTTAAATGATTCCGCCAATTTAAAACGAAAATAATCTTAAAAACAACGCGGCGGTTCATTTTGGAGGAACGGTAACGAACTCAGTGTTATGTTGTGCCCATCACTAGTCGTGACTAACTGATAGGTGTCAGGAACGCATTCTCTGAACGGCCGAACTATAGTACGTAGTAGACATGTGTAAATCACTCATTACTAGCGACCGAATCATTCTAGTACATTTCGTCACGCGTACTGGTACATTCGGATCGATCATTCAAATGGATCATTTCAGGCTCCAGTACTCTGTGAGTCTGTGAGATCCATTGAGAACCGAAAATTTTCTATTTGAGATTTGTAATAGCGCCATCTACTACATGTTATAGGTAATAAAGTCAATTTATCGAACTAAAACTTATTAACTTTCAAGGTGGTAAGAACAATCGACGCTAGATGACATAAACACAAAAACCTCAACATATCGTATATTTTAAGTATTTAATAAATTTGTTTATTCTTAAATTTCATTCCTAATAATCTAACAATACACAATTTCATCTTACTTTACATGTCTAAAAATAGGGACTGTAACATTTATTTGCTACGAAATTAAACTTTTACCTAACTTATACTTATATAAGATGGTTGAAAATTATCTTTTAAATAAATCATTTATCATGAAATCTTTTGAAGTGTTATTTTTAGTAAACTCTAAGGAATTATATTTTTAACTCATAGATTTAACAAATAAATATAAGAAAACGTAAAATAGTTTTTAATTTAGGTAACAATATTATAATAAAAAAACCCTTAAATAATAAATACTCCTGTTACTCTGCAGTTTCCGTATATATTCTCCGCTAGGAGTAATGGTGTTCTGTGTATATATTACTCTACTCTACTCCGTGCTCTGCAGTCTGCACTGTTAATTCAATTCGCCTGTTTATTCAGATCATTCGGGATTCGGTCGGTTTGCGGCTCATTCACAATTCAAACAAATCGCGGGTTAAAAACGTACCGTCAATTGTTTGTGATTGGTTGTACTGGTACATTCAAAAACAAATGAATGAACCATCAATACTTTTAAGTGTACCAGCTCAAACGAACGAATCATGCATGATTGACACATGTCTAGTACGTAGTACATAATAGCTCAATGCCGCTAACCAATTTTAAAGACATAACTCGGCAAAGGTTGGGGATAGTTTGGTGGTGCTCGAACAAATGTGGTTAGGACCGACAAGGTTCTACTACTGGCTATAAAAAATCTGGATGGCAGTTCTAAGACGGCGATTAAAAACCAACAGTGACGCATTAAATGAAATCAACAGACTTAGAACCATGTGCAGCGATAACTAAAACATAAAAATAAAATTATAGTCAAAAACGATTTTAGTGTGCTTGGATGGTGATGTAAATCTTAAATTATTTTTATCCGTTCTTTGTGATATTACCGTTATTAAAACTTTCTGCTGCTTTAAGCTGCCGCCGAAACCTCTCAGGAACTTCGCAATGTGACGCATTATTATATTGAGAAAAGTTTTGTGAATTAAATACACATCAAACTAGGCTATATGATATTAGACCTTTTCCTGTCTTAATTGGCGAATCGCAACAATAACAGAAATTAGTCAATTTAGTTTTAAATTATGTAATCCTCTACACGATGGGCCAGCGCTGGCCCAGCGAGATGGCCATGCCACAGAATAAATATAGTACTACGTAGCCATGCGATGCAACTACACGATGGCGACATTCAGTTGTGATGTGATCGAAACGTTTTACGTGATGGACGTGGAATAATGAGCCGCTGCGGCAATATATCAATACAACACGTACTTTGAAATAATACTAGTTTTTACGGAATTTATCGCGTATATTTTAACTTTTTAAATACCCGACGTTTCGAACGCTTTACAGCACTCATGGTCACGGGCAGGACTGAGATGTTCAACGTCCATATGTCATAGTTAACCGCGGTTACCATAGATTAAAATTTAACTTGCATAGATCGGAACAAAAGTTAAATTTTAATCTATGGTAACCGCGGTTAACTATGACATATGGACGTTGAATATCTCAGTCCATATGTCATAGTTAACCGCGGTTACCATAGATTAAAATTTAACTTGTATAGATCGGAACAAAAGTTAAATTTTAATCTATGGTAACCGCGGTTAACTATGACATATGGACGTTGAACATCTCAGTCCTGCCCGTGACCATGAGTGCTGTAAAGCGTTCGAAACGTCGGGTATTTAAAAAGTTAAAATATACGCGATAAATTCCGTAAAAACTAGTATTATTTCAATGTGTAGTGTTCGCGTAAATATAAGAAATCATTATACAACACGTACTTAATGTGCACAAGAATAGAGTTATCAAAAGAAAAGACGTAGAAGAAGATGGTGGATGTTATCTATCTATCGCAATAGAACTAAATATGTCCTAAGTCAATTTAGTTTTCTTTAAACAAAAATAATTAAATAATTATAATTAATAATTTAATAAATTATTAATAATCTATTAAATTATTAATTAATAATTTAATATATTATTAATTAATTATTTAAAAAAATTATGTATATGTTCTGACATATATATATATATATATTAATATACAAAGCACGAATGTCCACACTCAACCGTCGAGCGCGCACAACTGTTGAATGGGCCACGTGTAGGCGTACGGCCATCGCTGGCCCACTACCTTTGATGTGCGGCGGAAAAACCGACACCGTCGCCATCCCCAAGACCATCGCACGCGCCATAAGCCCATAAGCCATCCGACACAACTACGCCCTCCACACGCTGGCCCATCATAGTGGGTCATCGCGATGGCCCATCGTGTAGAGGAGCTATAAAATGTTTTTTTCCAGACTTCGATAGGTTATAAGCTTGATTTAATAAAACATAGTTTTTAACATTATTACATATATTGATATCTGACATAAGTAGACGCTTATAAATTTTTTCGCCATTGTTCTTTTTCCATTACTCATTTAAAGAACAAGTCTTCATAGAAATGAATTTAAAATTACTTGATTTCAGAGACAAGATCGATGTAACAGAAAAGAACGTGGCGGACGTGGTGGTGAAGAAATTGGCTGAACTGGACGCCAGTAAGAATATGATGGAGCAGTATAGGCAGTCCGTCGAAGTGAGTGTACCTACTTCTAGCCTGCACGTCTAATGCACCTACATCTCATGACGTAGCATGGGTTGATCCCGCTCGAGGCCACTAGAGCCGAAAATACCGATTGATGGGTCGGTATTTTCGGCATTTTTTCCATTCCTCAATTTTGCAAATAACTTAAAAATAGTAAAATGGCTCGTATAAGTCCACTTCTGAACATCGGTCACTCCATAGATTGCCTCATAGAATCAAAAGGGTGTTTTCCATGATTGCAACGCTTGGCAAGCGGGTTGGCAATCGCACTATTTTTTATTTTTTAAGTTGTTTTCGGGAAAATTCTACCGCCCGTCGCTTGTTTCAGTTTCCCTCTGTTAGCGCTAGTGGATTATCGTAAGCCTCCACTACACTGCGTCTTCTATAGCCTATGTATACTATTTGAAAATGAATAAAACAATATAGTGTATTTTATACTTGCCAAGTGTGTCTCAAGCTCTACAGTATTTATTATTTTAAAATCAAATGTATTTAGTAAGGGCTATTTACAAATTATTTGAGGTTATAACGTGCATTTTTATTTACTTTTATTGCGGTCCAGTGCTATAGCATCCATTTTTGTGCAAATATTGGCTATTGCGGAGATTATTAGCTAGGAACACTGACATCTAGCCTTATGGGTTCGTCTTCATAATCTGTTATTATCATATTAAATATTTCGGATCCAAAAAATAGTAGATTAATATCTAAGTTGAATTAAACCGGCAATTACAGTTACAAATACAGTTCTTTTTAACCGTAATAAACATTATTACAATTCATACTGAATTTATTGGCTTTCCATATCTTACTTTTCAACAATTTATCTGGTATATGACTAGTTATGGGTACAAATCCGTAATAAACCATCGCTCCTAGCACAAACATTATCAGCTGTTGGATTGGAGTGGTTAACGGGAATATGAATAGATTTTTTTTAAATTTATTACTTAAAAATAAATTACAAAATTTAGAACTTCTTTATTCCCAACGTATGGAACGCATTGCAGCAACCATGGTCACGAGAGGGAAGGGTGTTGGGCTCGGTATTGGGCTATTGTAAAACGCCCAAAAAGTTGGGGATAAAAAAAGTTAAAATTAAACTCAATAAAATCCTTAAAATGGATTTTATCCAATGTTTAGTATCTGCGTAGATATAAGTAATCATTATATATTATGACATGATATTTCGGAAACATTCGAAATCTTCTTATATAGACAATTTAATGGATATTATTATTATAGTTATTCTTGAGCTAATTATTCGAACTGATTATCGGTCTGTATGAGATATATTAAATAAATTAAATTTTCAAATCTATACTCGTACACGGCCAGTGAGAATTGACTATAAGCCGCGGCATGTTTATTTTTAAATAAATTTCTTAGAAATGTAAAACGAAAACACGATAAGCTGGTGCGTCTAGTACTCAACAGGGAATATATATGATTTTTTTGAAACACAATACTATTACAATAGATTTTTATGAATGTATTTTTCGGTCTGTGTCCAGAACGTAGTGGTTTGTTAGTGCCGTTAACTGATTTAATGTGAAACAGGTATTTACACCATTCAGGCCCTGCTTGGCGATCTCGAGTCAAGAATAAAAACCCAAGGTTAATTAATTCATACGTTGACAGCATTTATTGTAGCTTTTAGATGCACTCTTTTGATGAACCTCGTATGCTCTCTCTCTCTCTCTCTCTGTCTTTCTTTCTCTTTTGAATCACTTTAATAATAAAATACTTTTTTTACGTATATTTTAAATCTTATCACACAATCTTATTACGCAGTAAAATAATACTAATATGTTATAGGATGAGTAAAATATCGATATCGATTTTTAACAAAATCGTTTCTACATTTCATTTTTTTAATAAAACAATGAAATCATAATATTATGTAATATTTATCATTACAAAACGAATATCCTACAACATATTATATTTTCCTGATATTCCTTTCCTTATATAAAAATTGTCCTTCCAATATATCCATAGATTCCTAGAGAGAACATACAATTCACAGCAACACAGCTTACGAACCTATGACGCGGTTATTTGCGCCGGCGTCAGCACTCTTGTATATAACTACTGGAATAATTGTAAATAACGCACTATAATTACCATCGTGCCAAAGAGGTCATTGTGTGAATAACCGACTTGTGTAAAATTAAATACACTATTAAATTGCTTGCGCAGAAATGCAAAACAGATATGTATTTGCTATATATTATAACGCTTGTATACTGAGAGGTGTTTTATTTAAAAATGTTTAGACATATTTCGTGTTTGCTTTCAGACGCTAAAAAAGCAGGTGGCACAGTACGATGAAGAAGACGATGTGGATATCATTGAGAAGGTAATTATTTTTTTATTTTTCTGGCTAAAGACAAGGGGTATAGAGAAACTTATATTTAAAGGGGTAGGTTCTTTAGGCGCGCCACGACACGAGTTTCCGACAGTAACTACCATTTCCACTACAAAGCCATCACAAATCCACTGCTAATAGGCGATCCCTATAGATTGCTACAAAGTACCGTCCAGCGGAGCTAGTTAAGATGACATTTTACAATCATTAACCCTATAGAAAACTATAAAAATGAATTATCATCGTCATCATTACTGAATCAACATTACGAGCCCACTACTATACATGCGTTATCCTCAAGGAATGCCGCAAAGCATGGTCCATGGATAATGTGTAACGAAAAACTTCACCTCAGTCTCAACCAGCGACATCCATTGAGTTTTACAAAACTATAGGAGCAAACCACATTACCGCGCGTCGAAAAAAGTGTAACCACTATCCAAACGCGGCGACGTAGCTTTGAAATTACTAAACATTTTAAATAAACATATATCTGTCTCATTTACACAAGTTGCGAAATTAAAACCGTCACTAAGATTAGATAAAGATAGACACACCAAACATGCAATGGCGGTTGGTGTGGCTTACTATATGAAATTTTACTCAAAATACGCAATAAAAATTAGTTTTTTTAGCTTCAGTTAATTGTTTTTTATTTAAAAAAGTATATTTTCTTATCAGGTGAATAGAAGTTAGTATAAGTGATGAAATAAAACATATTTTTATAAGTATTTTTATTGTACTAATAAGTTAAACAATATAATATAGGTAATAAAATATATTTTTTATAGGATAAGGGTGACCAACGAGCACACGATCCACCTGATGGTAAGTGGTTGCTGTGGCCCATAGACATCTACATTCGATTTGGAATCAAAATGTAAATGCGTTGTCACCCCTGAGGACTAAAATGGAATGCGTCGATCCCTGTAAAACGGGCCTCCGGTTATCTACACTCACCATACGAAACGCAGCAGCATTAAGCTGCTATTTTAAGCTGGTTTTCTGTGAGAGCGTGGTCCTTCCCCGGTCGAGCCGACCCATTGTGCTACAACCATAATATAGCTGCAGCGTGGCTCTACCACGTAAAGAATTAATATAAAATATGAAATGTATATAAAAGTAAAATTATAATCAATATAAAATTATTAATATAAAATAGGTAATAAAATATATGTAATAGATCATTCATGAATCATGAATAAACTGGAATAAGAATAATTAATTATTTTGTATGAAAGTTAAAACGTGGTGTTTATTATTTCCAAAATATTTAAAATCAGAGGTAACAAATTCACTTACTCCAATAATTATATAGTCTCCCGTTAATGTGGGATAATCACAAAGGCGGAAAAGTGGCAACATTTAACCTTAATCGCAATATTCGATAATTTTATTTAATTATTTGAGGTTTTTACGTTTATTTGAAAACATGAAATAAAACTTAAGTGTGGAAAGTGATTCCGCTTGATTTATTATGTTTTTGTGACATTGAATCGCATTCTTTCACTACGCATTTACCCATTTTCTGTCGCGGATCGTTCGGCTCAACTCTGTCGGCGTCACATTGAACACTGAACTGACGTTAGCTAGGCATATGGCTGTGGCAACGCTTTGGCACGGTTATTACTAATCAAGTGTAATATATAAATCAATGGCGACATCTATCTAGTGAACGGAAGATTATTAGAATTCGCACCCTTTATAGTTTATAGTCCAAAATGTAAATAATAAACAACCTCTTTTTTTGGATTAGATTAAATAATAAATAAAAATGCACAGGAGCTGGCAAGTTGCGACGAAAATGAGCGGCGACAGCGATACGAAGCGCTGGACGCAGCGCTGAGCGCGCTGGCCGCGGTGGACGGCTGGGCGCGCGCCTCAGCGCTGCAGCGCCGCCTCGAGCGCCTCGCCTTTGCGCTCGCCGCGCCGCCTGCGCCCGCGCCCGCGCCTATAACCAATGCACTCAATACCGCCTCCACCACCAACTCCACTCCCTAGCCAGTATTCCTAGAGACATTCTCAAAATTTCAGTCTAGATCATATCTTTTACACTAATTTTAACATTGTCAAGTTTAAGTTTAAACTCGATATTGTCTCTGAATGCCGACCTAAGATTTTCCCTTCCTTTTCGTTTATGTGTGGTTTACGTATAGACTTTTTTTTTTTTACTAAATTGTATTTACAAAATTTATCTGTGTATTAAGTACTCTCAATGATTATACTTAAGAAGCAGACTTTTTCTGTTTTTCCTTAGAACTTACATTATAGCATTTAAGTTTATTTTCCTACTTATCAGTAATAATAATTCATTAGTTTTACTTTAATGCAATATGTTTTATTGTAAATAATACTGTTTGCAACAAATTTGTTATACTCCTAAGTTAGACTTAATGCATAATATTGCCCCTTACTAAAATGACTATGCCTAACATTTTATTTTGCAGATATTTTATGAAAATATCGTCAATGGATTTAACATAATGATAAATTTTAGATAGATGCCTTGATGATACGTGACATTATTAATTTTTGAATTAAAATTAAGCAAATTATACCATAGTAAATAATGTACTGTTTACATCAATTGTTATTTAAATCTTATTTAACAACCATTAGCATTAAAATACAAAGTGGCCAAATTAACCTGAGGCTTTGAAAAATCTTCCTGACAATGACATATTTTTCGATATTTTTAAATATTCTGCTTACCAATATATCTATGTTGGGATAGTTACGGTAAAATATTTTAATCGTTATTATAATGTTTTTTTTTTGATAACATGAAGTTAGCTACACAACAACTAGTTTTAATTTTCAGTGTACGTACCGATGCAAATACGTGCTCGTATACTATAAATTATATTATGTCCGTCCTACGCTCTTGCTAGGCCCGAAACTAATGAATTAACAATGGATCTTTGAAATTCTATAATTAGGGCAAACTTAAAATAAAAATTAGAACAAATTTTACGGCTTATATAGAAAAAATATCTCTTCTTAATTTTTGTCATTCACATATTAATTGTTTTATTACTTATTATTTAGGACAAAATGTGTAGGATTTATTTGTTCGAAAATTTTCGCCTATTGTTGTTTCGAGTGTGTTTTATTATCTGTAAGCGATGACTAATAAGTACATACACTAATAATAAAAGTAAGCAGGTGCATCTCTAATTTAAGTAGTCCACTTTACATAGAGTGTAAGAGGCGAGGAGAACCATCTCTCATAGGAAAATAGTTGAAATAGTGTCCATCTGTAAGCAGAAAATAACAGTTCGTAAACTCTCCACAACAGCGCTGAAGTAGCTAGAAGGTATGAAATGAACTAAGCAGTTGTCGACAGAGTGAATTGTGATGAGTTGAAGAATTTAACATTTGTGGTTACTAGAGTAGTTGATGAAATTGCAGTATTTAAAACCTCAACTACTCGCGTTGTCTAAAATAATTTAGTAAATATAACTTAAAAAAAGTTGCCGTGAAACACGCTGAGAGTGATTTTGAAAATGAAAATTTTGAAAACAATAAAATAATTATTATAAAAAAATATGGTTAAAGTCTGTGCAATAAAAAGTTATAAAAAGTTCTTTAAAATTTACCCTCTAGCTGTAGCTACTGCTGTTGGCCACTGTAGTGGCGCCACCCTTGTTTAGCGCTTTCTTACGGACACTTTTTAATACAGAGACGGTTCTCCTTACGTCTATACTCCATGCCACTTTACAATATGCAGTGTTTATGGTCATGAAATGTCTACATCAAATGTTACTGCACCTAGCATTATGAGGAATTAGATGGAAAGCTTTCATGACTTAAATCTATAATCTGTACATTTACCAAAGTGATCTACATAGCTGTACTGTGTTGGCTTTGAGATACACATTTTTTTTAATTTCCATGTTTATGACTGTATGCAAATTTGATCTCCAATTAACTAATTAATGAATTTAAACGTAAAAAGACGCAATACAAGATACTACACAGCAATATGTAATTGATAAAACAGTAGTTTTAAAATAACTGTTTAGCATCGCGTAGATCTATACACAGCATACACGATCTCACAATGTGCGACTTGTCCATGCCTACTGTATAATATATATAATGATATGTCATTTGTGCTGGGTATTTGTGTGGCGCTTTATTAAATTGTTTGTAGATGTATTTCACAAAGCTATCTCCATTACAGTCATAAGTATAATAATATATCCATTCCGTATGGCATTTGATAATTTATAGAATAATAATAATAAAAATGCATACTTAATAGGTATAGGTAGATATTTGGAATTCATGATAACGAAGGAATTGAACTATTCATTTATTTATCAAGTCATGTCCCTGTATGTAATGACGTGTCTCTATGTGTTTAGGGAGGGGGAGAGGGAGCGTTACATAAAACGTTACGGCGCATAACATGAGTGTAACGGAGTGTCAAAATTGCGTTATGTAAGACTTGAACGCCCTTACCTGCTTATTTATAAACTTGTATAAACGTTGTTTATTATGCAGTAAGAAACAATAATGGTTTCGTTTAATATTAATGTAATTCATTGCTTTGAGTAAAGCTAATTTTACTGATTTTATTGCGTTTATTTTAAATATAGTTTTATTCAATGTTTGGTATTCGCGTAAATATAAGTAATTGTTACTTTGCTTTTGTAAGTGCCATTAGTACTTCGCCTTTTCAAAAAGAAGAAAATAATAAAATTCTAGTTGAAATTTGCAAATTATATTCTTATAACATATTATGTGCAACATTAAGAAATGTACCTACATCACAGGTAATATAAGGTAATGAATGTTATAACTCTAATCAAATGTTTATTTTTTGATCTAGTCAATATCATTCAGTAAAAACAGAAAATTTAATTCGATAGATTAAAATAAAAGTTTTATTTATACTTCTTGCGTAAGGCAAGAAATAAAATTAATGGACCCAAACAAACATCCGAACTGTAAGTGCAGTTACCTTTTTTAAATTTATTTTTAATTTAGGTAAACGCACAAATTTGTGTTTATTTTGTTTAAATTGTGTAATATTTTCAAAATAGAATATTAAAAAAATAAGACTGAGGTTGTATTTATATTGATGAAATGGCAAACCATTTGTGCATTAAAATTGTGAAATGATTAGGATTTTGAGTTTTCATTTTTTAGCAAGAACACTAGTAGTAATGTTAACACTACTAATCTTTTTGACCACTCTAACTAAACATTTAAATGCTTGTACTAATAATCGTTCACGACAATACTCAAATGGCGGATTTATCCACGATTTTTGGAGTTCCGCCGTCCGTATTCTTTTAGTTATAGCTATTAGGCTACTGTTACTGTAAACGACAATATTTATTTCACGTTTCATATGAGCTTGCTATAATAAATTATTTAATGCAGTAGTACAAAATCGCGATTAAAACATTTGTTCCATCCACACCGCTTGCTTTCAGGTGCTGAAGTTACTACATATTGTAATTAACTAATCTAAAGTTAAGTCATGCCAGAAAAAGTAAAATTATTCAATAATTAAATACTTTCGTGTATTAAGTATGTAAAGAAATTGTCGAATTATGTGATGTGTAGAGGTGTAAATAAAATCATAAATGAAGAACATGTTCTTTTATTTAGTTATTCCAAAATAAAACACAAAACTTAGATTTCCAAATGGTTTAATAATTTACGAGTATTGCGGCAGTGATAACAAATTTAAAGCCGACTTCACAATTCTTATCAGATTTTATTAAGTCTGATCAGAGTGTACGAGAGCACTTGAGCTTAATACTAAGCGCCTCGCAACGCACATAAGCAGTGTTCACCTTACAGTGGCAGACGGAAAAAATAACGTACTAAAAATATATTATATTCTCTGCTGATACTGTAGGTGAACCTCGAGCTTGTGTGCGTGCGTTTTGAGACGTTTGTATCACCTTGTGTTAAGCTCCTACGCTCTAGTTCACTGGTTAGTTTAGTGTAAGAAACTGCTATGATTAAATATGCAGAAGTCCTGGTTGCTCTTCCTTTACCGTTACAGCCTATCAACTTCCATTGCTGAACATAGGCCTCCTCCATAGATTTGTTTATTTTTAATAAATAGATGATAAAGAGAACAATCCTGGTGGCTACGAATAAAAAAAATTCTAATATTTTATCAAAATGCGCACTAACACACACACACACAAGTGCAACTCATAATCGAAATCAACAATATCGATTGCAGTATACTCGTGTATTCTGATTTGACGCAGATGTAAATTAATATTTTTACCCGACTATGGCGAAACCAAAAGGATGGTTACGATTATAGAAGGCTATGTATATTCATCTGTTCATTCAGATCTTCTAAACTACACGTCGTATTTTGAAAAATGAGATATCTTTAGAAGCATGTTTTATGCCTTTTCGCAGGTTTCATAAAATCACATAGAAACTAACATGGTGGCTTATTACGTACATATAAGTACTTAGATATAAAATAAATATTGAAATATCGCATTTGTTTGTTCAGCATGTTCTCAAAATTTTGAAAATATATACATATGATACATATGAATATAAATTAAACTATATCAGTATTTAATAGTTAAGGTTTTTCCACCACCTGGTGTACCATTAGTCGAGAGCTGTTCTATATACAGTGCAGTACTCCGAAACTTTGATAGCGTGATTTATGCTTCGGTGCGTTTTTGCTTGTGGCGCGACGACAGCGGCGCCACAGCTAACATCAAAGAAGGATACGTCGTTGTCACATCTACGGACTGAGGGGAGATGCCTCACATCCTGTATTTATATTTTAGACAAGTACTTTGTAAGAGGGTGACACCCAGACGAACTTCTAGCTCCCAAGCAGAAATTGAGTTTTTGAAGACTGTTAATTAATATATTGTTTTTACGTGGTAGAGCCAGGATGCATCTTTATTACTGTTGTAACTCGAATGGGGCGGCTCGTCAGAGAAAGGACCACGCTCTCACAGAATACCAGCGTAATATTAATATTTCGTATAGTG